TTCTTACTTCGTTACTACTACGTACTACTACTACTACTACTACTACTACTACTACTACGTACTACTACTTACTTACTTACTTACTTACTCTCTCTCTCTCTCTCTCTCTCTCTCTCTCTCTCTCTCTCTCTCTCTCTCTCTCTCTCTCTCTCTCTCTCTCTCTCTCTCTCTACAAATATTTGGAACAACTCGATTCTATAACCCTCTGACTAGATGGTAGCAATAGCAGTAGATTGGCTACAATCCAGCGAGTTTGATGTTTTTGGGTGAACAGTTGCCGGATTTAGGATATTCTCTTAAGCCACTTGTGGGAGACTCTTCGACCTGGTAACTTGTTTTGTTAAGTGAATGCCCTCAATTTTTAGCTTCTGGATGTTGTTTCTCTTCTTTTGTCGAATTTGCAATAGCATGAAAATTTTTTGTATTTCGATCTCCTCTAAACCATTTGATTCTCGATCTCTGCCTCCAGTATACTTCTTCCAAATTTAGCAGGCTATGTAAAGATGTAACAATGTTGCTTCTTTTTCTCAATTGATCCTCAGATAGAACAGTACCTAAGACCTATTGCTCATCAACTTCAATTTTATTCCTTGTGAAATGAATTTTTGTTTGAACACTTCCCCAAACTTCATTTTTCCATTTGACAATGTTGTCTTCTACCATCTTTAGTTTGGTTGCTAACCAGTAAGGCGAGCCGCCACTAAAAGAAATATAAACCAAGAATGAAATCATCAAAAAGCCACATACAAATAGAGAAGCGAGGAGAACTACAGAATTCATTAGTCCATCGAATAATATTAAAATCCCCCCACACACCATGGAACATTCAAGGAGTTGGTTTTATAAATTTGCATAGACTCCTCAATATACATATCAGGGATTCATTTATTAAAGAATTATTTTTAGGGAAAATTTTGTATAGAACCCTAATTTATCGTATTATTTCATGGTAGACCCTCCTACTATTTTTCTTTTAAGCGGCATAAGAAAACCTCTAAAGATTTCACCATATCTCATCATCTCTTATCTTCTTCTTTTATTGATTTTTTATTTTAAAAATTAGCTCCAACAAATCTGTTTATATAATTTCAACCCCAGAAAAGAATTAATAGGTGGCAAGGGAAAAAGATGGTTAAAAAAGGTTATTGGGATGAAATGGTATAAAAAGATTTGTTGGAACTAATTTTTATGGTCAAAAGTCAATAAAAGAGGGAGATAAAAGATGAGGGGGTACGGTGAAATCCTTAAGGATTTTCTTCTGACGCTTGAAAGAAAAACGGAAAGAGCGTCTACCGTGAAATAATATGAGGAATTAGGGTTCTATACGAAATTTTTTCTTATGTTGACCACGAATAATCTTTGAGCCAACAAAGACGAAGAAGATTAAAGAATACAGTTTTAATGCTGAATTCATCTTAGCTCATTTCAAACTCGATGACGAGTTTTCTCCAACCAGGAGAGAATGATGGAGGGAAAAAATATACTTATTTTTAAATTCTATTCAATTTTAAAAAATATATATTTTGATTTTGGTTTTAAGAATTATTTTTTTAAGTTTTTTTTTAATTCTAGGGCTTGCTTATATTTTCTTGATTTACTATTCATTGTATTGCTCATGCATACTAGTGTTACTGATCACGTTGTTCACACATATTAGTGTTACTGATCACACGTACTGTTCACAATTACTATTCACACGATAATATTCACAAGGGTGCTTTTACAATTTTAGTATTATTTTAGGGGTTTTAAATGTTTACTTTGATTTCAAGTTAAATTTTCACAGGCTTATAAAAGGCTAGATATCATATTTTAAATATTTACTCGAGATGCTTATAAAAGGCTAGATGTCATATTTTGGGAGGCATATGTTATGAAAATGAATTTTATTTTATGAAAGAATAATTTTATTTTATAAAAGAAAGTTTTTTTCTTGACTTTAAAATTTACAACTATGTTTTTCCTCTATTATTCCTGATTTTATTTATTTAAAGTTTAATTTCCCACATTTCCTTCCTACATGACATTGTGATTAAGCCATCCCAGCTATCCCCTCAAATTGAACGATTGACAACATACGGTCATATATACTTCAAATATAGATGATGTAAAGTTTTCCCTTTCTTAAAACATAACTCGAACACATATTAAGTTAGCGTAAAAAAAGGACATATAGAGGAGGGGAATGGAACCTCCTTGCATTTGCATTTGGAAGACGAACAAAATTCCCAGCCACAACGACATTATTAGAATATACGAATATAATTGATATATTTTCCTTTAGCTGGATCACCAGTCCAACTGATCTATTCCGGATCAAGACCAATGAGTGAAAGATTCATCCCACCAATCAATTTTTTAAAAAACTTCTCGATTTGAAATAGCATCTAAACTCCCCCTTACAAGAAAAATATAGGTGTTATGCTCCTTACCCTTCCGTGACCAAAGAGATTTTAAAAAGACATTTGATTTAGCTTTAGTAACCATCATCATGGAAGTGGTGCCAATCAATGTCTCCATGAGATTTGAGCCAAACTTCAGTAAGACGGAAAAGTACACTGAGTTTTAATTCCTTGTCAGCCGATATTGGCCGGGATTCCAAAAAACATTTCCAACAAGGTTCGAGCCTAGGAGCCAACCTACAAATCCACACCATCTCCACTTTGAAAAAAGACCGGTGGCAAGGGAAGGCGGAGGCAGTTCTAGGCTAGGTTGTGAGGGCTTTACAAGACAATCTTCAAAGATTCGAACCTTTTATTGATAGCCTCTCACCTGAACCTACCGTTAACCTGAAGCCGAAGCCGAAGCCGAAGCCAGAGCTGAAGCCCAGGGCCACTTCTTAGTCACTACCTAATATTCAATTATGAAATTTCTAAGACTAATTGCTTTTCTAAAGAATCCCTCTTTTTATTAGTTACTTTTCCTCGTCTTCTCAACTAAAATTTCAAGAAACTGATTTACCAAAGTGTTAGACTTGCTTGTTTGAATCAAACCAATTTCTAGCCAAATGGATCATATGATAACTACACTCAAATTTAAACACCGAAAGGTACTCTTTTCAAAAGGAACTTACCTGCACTCTCAATATTGTCAGTCTCTTTGGTCTATTATTGTACAGTCCTTGACAAGCTCATACTATAGAATTAAAGTGTCAAAAATCAATTGGTAAAAATTGTTTCCATGCTAGAAAACCTTTGAATTAATAATCTTACCCTGTATGGATATGAACAGAAAAATATTCCAACCCTAAAACTAATGCATCTTGTAATGTACTACCAAAAACTTCTATTTTCAATATTTTCGAATGTTAATAGATCTTGCTTGATTCACACCATTTTTCTAGTTCATTTTTTTTCAAAAGAAAAGTTTCATAATTACAGATAAAAATAGAATTTCAGGTCATTGTAAAAATTTCCCACATCAAAAAAGTTTCATAATTACAGATAAAAATAGATTTTCAGGTCATTGTAAAAATTTCCCACATCAAAATTGCATCTTTTTAACAAAGATTCGAGGTGCGCCTTACTTTGATTATTTGAAATTGACACGAAATTGACACCGTAGGCAAACCACACCCTTACATAATATTAACCCCAAGACAATCATACATTTCTATTCTTCTTTTATTTATGAGTAAGAAGCAGTTACAAATATTAATCCCGGAAGCAAATTTAATGAACAATAAAAGCCCAGGATTGGAAGGATGAATTTTGGATTACATGAAGCCTTTTATTGTATTTGGCTTCATTGGCTGGGGAGCTTGAGGAGTGAGAGGATGAATTTTTTGAAGATACCATATCATGAACATCAAGCCTTTATCATATCGGCTTCAATAGCTGCAGAGATTGAAGCTACACAGGGGAACCAGTATCTGTGTTTTCCATCACGGTGTCCGTCATCGATCATGGCAAGCCCCTCCTAGTAAGATGAACCAGCCGCTTTGAGAATACATTAAAAAAAAAAAGCGAAGGAAAATATAAAACGACTGATTATAGCCCATGCAAGGTTGCATACTAATAGTCACACTCAAAAGATTCACTTTGTTTAGAGAAATTGGAGTTTCACTTTACTTTGAGTAGAACTTCAAGAGCATCTGTAGCACGACCAGGTGACCATCCTAATCGCTTCTCAACCTCTTCAACAGTCACAAAGCCTTGAGCCTGATCACCAAAGTAAAGATTAGAGAACTCCCCAGGATCTATATTCTTTTCCTTTTTTTTAGCTTTTGGGAATCAATAAAATTAAGATTGCTTGTATAACAGAGAGAAGCACCAGCTTTTCTATACAGAATACAACAAAAAATATGGGGACAAAATTAATGAATTGATGAACACAGCATCATACAATTGCATATAATTCATTATACATGGCTCCAAGGGACCAAGCCAAACTATATCAATGTTCAATTACTCTGCTCGGGCTCTGGACTCAGCCCTTCCCCAAGCCGAGTAACTCAGCTGAGAACTTGTTCAAGTCTTGTACGAGCACAAAAAGGGTTAAAACTTGAAAGCCAAAATGTAATAATGTGCCAAAAAAAATAAAGAAAAAGGTAAAAGCAAAAACGTTATAAAAGGCATTAAAAGTCTATAAAAGATGATAAAATCACAAAATATAGAATATGAAGATTTTGATTTATAGCTTGATACAAATTCAGAAAATAGAGCTTAGAATAACAAAAATTCAAAAATCATCACAAAAACAAACATGTTATATATGAATACATTTATAAAACATTGGTTACTGATTTAGTAGTATTAATTTTATAGAAAATTGCTATAACCCCAAGTTGTATAGACAAACTTGCCTCAGCAACCTTCCAACGCCAAGTTACTCTGACAAGTTCTATTTGACTTGGCCAAGAGTTGGAACACTGAACTATATTACAATCTCTCTTTTATTCGATAATTTAACCTTAAATATCCTTCAAAAGTATAAAGTTCAAAGTTAAAATTTGTTGTAAAGGGAGGATTTACCAAATGTACAGTTTAATTTTTTACTAAAAAGTTGCCTTTATGGATAGCTCTGTCAGCAAGGGTACATGTGTAATCACCAGTAAAAGTCAAGAGGCATCTTTGATATCTTTCTAAACATCATCATCAGAGCCTTTGATATCTTTCTAAATATATAGTTGAATTTCCAGTAAAGGACAGGCATTGTACTATGTTCTGGAACACATTTTCAAAATGCAATGTATCAATGAAAACTTCAAATGTATCCTTAATTAATGATTGACCTACTTACAAAAAATAATCATTCACCAAGAAAACAAATGACTTTTTAGTAAAACCCCATCACAACTCATTCTAACCTTAATAGGAATCGGAATTGCGTCAAGGCGGTAGCAGCTGGGTTTTTATAGCACTATATCTCAAGAGTTCCATTTCTATGTTAAAAAAAAAAAAAAAAAATTATCCTAACCTTAATTTTCATGTTTTGATGTGTTGTTTAAGTACAGACAAACCCATATTTTATATAGCTAAGTAAAAAGCTCACATTTTATATAGCTAAGTATAAAATCTTTGAACAAAAAGTTCAATATTTAATCAGTAATACAATGCCACAGGGTATTCACTGTGAGCTGTAGGCAGAGGAGATAAAATCTTCCATAAGGATAGTGATATGTCTATATAGTCATAACACATTATCCCTATCTCATTTTAAAGTCTAGAAGTCTCTCAAAAGTCTGAGATATTGAACAAAAATCCACCATTTGACCGTATTCGGAACACAAAAGCAAACCAAACTATTGCGTATCAGAGAAGAAAATACAGCCAAACGTGTACAGTAAATGCAACCCTGAAGGTAAATAAAATTTAAGATGTAAAAAGCAACAATTCTTTGGCTTATAATTAATGAACATTTCAAAAACAAAAAAAAAATGTGAAAAACGAACTCTGAAGAATTACCAAATTGAAAAGCGGCAAGAACCCTATCATGGGAGGCCTCTTATTTTTAGTGGAAATAACACAAAATTGGATAAAACACAAAATCACGAAATAGCCATGAGATTTGTACTAGAGAGAGTCATTGCAGAATAGATACTACTAAGAGGGCGTGGCTGGTATGTGAAAACTGAGAAGAGTCCCAAGGGGATTTGAGCTTTTCTTTTGCTGCCCATCAGGTCCTTTGCTTTGTGGCTTAAAATATAACCAAACTAAGGCTTCTAACCCATGGAGATCAGATATGGCAGGTTAGGCAAAGAGGCCGCTATCTTGTACTCCCATTAATGTAGAAAACATAAAAGCTAGAGTACACAGATGCCCTATCAATTGAGAGTACTACTATTTACCATAAATTACGCCTTTCCAAATTGTATCCTAGATGGAACTTAACAAAGGGAAGATGTCAGAGTGTATCACGTAGATCATTAAACCTCAACTGACGTTATGAAAAAGTACTATGTTAATTCGAGTATAAAAAATAATGAATAAGTAAACATTGGATATTGAAAACAATGAATAATCTTGCAAGGTAGTCTTGAGATGGCAACTTATCTACGTAAACAAACCTGAGCCAACTCCAAAATTTCATTATGGTCTTTATTCAACTCTGTAGGAACCGATCTAACAAGTTTCTTCTTGCCTACAGATATCACTTCAAAACCACTTCCCAATACCTAGAAAACCACCAATGAGTACCATATCAAATCAAAGCATATGATAATACAATTTACTCACATTTGAAACTTTCAAAAACGCTGAAGGACAAAGAAAATTAAGAAGATTGATGCACCACTGAAACAGAATCAACTGATTATAGATGGCCACAAATTTCAAGGGATTTCATAGTCATAGTAAAAGACAGGCCTTAGGAATAATACCTTTAGCTTACTTATAGCCCGCAAGCAATCATCCTCAGATATTGAGTCTCGAGCAGCTTTTCGTCTTTGACGTAGCAAACTACAAAGTTCCTGCAAATTGATCAAACCTCCATTGTGGGATCTAGTAGCCAAGCATATTTCAACAATTTGCACCCCTGCTTATGCCAAATATTGTTGTGTCATTTCGCTATCAGTGCAACCAAAAGAAGTTTTAATTAATTTCAAGGTCCATTTACATATCAAAGTAGTATCCGTTCAGAACATGTGGTTCTAACAAGCAACCATCCAAGGGTGATGGAGCAATGCTTTAACCTCTCAAAAATGTTCAAAATATTCACATAGCATCCACATTTTCTAATCTTTAATTTTATTAAGAAACAATATCAAATTGATGTATTATTTTACCAAGAAACAATATCAAATCTCACAAGCAGATAAGACTTTTCATCCAATTATTTAGTGATCAAGCAAAAGCAATTTAGCAAAAATGAAAGAACAGAAAAGGACTGACTCCAATGGAACAACTTTTACCAAGCTCATAATAGAAGTCACCAATCCCTAGCAACTCGGCCCAAAATCCCTTGTTTGATGCAAGTGGATCCACTCCAACTTTCGCACACATCTCATGGAATTGTGACCTGAATGCAGGATTCTTGCGAATATCATTCTGCAAAATTTCAACAAGAGGACTTTCAAATGAGAGACAATCTTAACAAAATAGATACAAAAAACTGAATTAATTGGTCAAATGGAGTTGTACATTGAGAGTATAAAAAGAGTAAAAATCATTTACCCATACTGTCGACATTTGCATTTACTTCCATTAAAATTATGGAACAAAATTAAACCATTCACAATAACAATTCCTTTAAAATATAACTCTTAAATGTGAAGCTAGATAAGAGTCATGACGGCAGAACACTATTATAATAGCAAGTGCCAGTAAAAAAGTATAGCCTCTAAATTATTTGTAATGGTAAAACCATAGTTGCAAGGATTTCCCAACCTAAATGGCAATCTCATTCCGGAATCTCGCTCCTCAATTTTGGGAAAAGGATAGGATTTTGATTTTTTTAAATTTCAGGATCTCGATCCCCATCTTAGAGCTCCCGATGACTGCTACAAGGGATCTCAATCCCCACCTTAAAGACCAAGATAACAAACAAAACAATGATTTTCAAGCCAGATTGCACCACAACTATACTTTTAATATAGTTGCATTGCTTGCAGGTTATAAACAAAGAGATCCCTAATTTGAAGGGTATATATAGTCTTAGACTATATACTCTTTAAGACTAGGAGCAGATCCCCCAAAAGGTTGGGGTCGAGATCCCCAATAATTACGGATATTGATCCTAACATATGCATTGTACAGATAACACTCCCAACCATAAGGACCGTTTAGCCTTCACAATCCCACAGTTCTAGATCCCTATCCCGCTCCCGATTCACTCTTGATCCTAACAACTGCATGTAAGACAAAATAATATTACAATGACTGCCACTGAATGGCAATATCAACATAGTACAAGAAAAATCAAAGTTTTAACTCATAATTGTTTATCATTGGAAGTCTTGAGCCATGAACATTACCAAAGGTATTGAATAATTGTTATTCCTTAGTAATCATGTTAAAGTTAGTCAAAAAGTTTATAGATGAGAACTTGAATAATTAAAAAGAAAGTTTGAACATTTAAACAAAACTGAGAGGGAACTTGTACATGTAAAGGATTTACTCGTTCAAAGCCACATTGATAGAATGGAAGGCCACAATTACCTTCGGATAATTTCTTCATCCCTCAAGGATTTCGAACAGGCTGGATAAAACAAATTAAAAAAGTAAAGACCTTGCTCAATAACTAGGAACCTAGCAAGTTCAACCCAAACAAGTTTTGTTTGCTTTGCTTCACCAAATAATTTCATATCTTGAACAGAAACAAAACAAATTTCAGGACTTCAGACAAAAGAGCCACATAGGCAATACACATGTTCAGAATAGAGAAAACATACAAATTAAAGCGTTCACCAATCTAATTTGAAACCCAGATCTTTTTATTTGATAAAAAAACCAAGGCCACATGGACATTGAAATAGGGATTGACATCTAGCACGTGTTACTGGTGAATGACACTAGTCCAAATATTGTGAATACTCTGAGATATTGTAGCCTAAATTGTTGACATGCAGGTAAAATTACACACACACACACACACACACATGCGCATGTCCCAAACACATGCACAGACAACAACATGAAAATAAATGCGCTTGCAGCCTCCTACATCATTCTATTTGAAACAGGCATCGCAAGATGTACTTACACATTGTCTGAACACTCAAACATCTAACATGTCAAAACTCAAAACATCCTGCACCTCTGTTTTCAATCAAGTGGAATAGGGTCTGCAACAAATTGAAATTCTTGAAGCCCTAATGTTTTCACTAAAAAAGCAAAATGAACTTCATAATATCATTGAAAATCTTGTTCGGACAAAAAAAAAAAAAAGAATTTTGCATCAAGGGGGAATGTTAAAATGTGATGCAAAATTGTAGAAATTGGGGGGCCCGTGTAATTTTTTCTCTCTCTCTAAGAGGTTGTGGGTAGTTAAGGGTTATCAATTTATGGTTGTGGGTAGTTATGAGTTATGGATTTATGGGGAGAGTTATCTTGTAGTGGGTAGTTATCTTCTACTCTCTCTCTCTCTCTCTCTAAGTGGGTAATTATCAAACTGGGAAGTTATGTGTAGTAGTGGGTGGTTACCCGGGTCACGTACGTAGTTTGTGGGTAGTTGTTAAAACTGTTGTAAAGGCCTCTAAAATCGCACAATCTATGCAAACGAGTTGTACTCTTTTTGAGTTTGAAGTTTTCTCTCTAAAATGTTGCTTATTCAAAAACTTTATTAGAGATTGAGTGTTAGCCGCAGCAAATAAACTTCAAGTAATTTAGGAGGACTGCTATGGCCTATGGGCCATAGCATCCTCACTCTAATATTTCTCTCTCTAAATCTATTTTGTTTATTTGCAATTCTTCCTTGAGTTTTATGAAGTTGAGAGTATTTCTATAATGTAGTAGTAGCTACGCACTTTTAAAAATTACAACATTTATGATGTAGCACTTCTGAAAATTCCAGCAGTGGTATCCGCTTGGAATTTACAATTCCATTTTTGCCTTATTTACAATTCTTTTCGTTTTTTTTGTTTTCTTTTTCTCTCCATTCCAAAAATTATTTTTTATGCCTTCTCGTGGGTATTATGATATGAAAGGCCTTCTTAAGAAGGAGAATTAAAAAAATAGGGGAAAACAAAATGGGAGAGTTCTTAATGTCGGTGTTTTGTAAAAGTTTTCTAAAATGAGATTTAAAAAAAATAAAAAAATTAGGAAAGGGGGACATGAATAGTCCTCAAGAGAAATCCAAACCTAGTGTAAGCATAGGAAAAATACTTTTTGAGAAAGAAAAAAGACTATAGTCCTAGTATGTCATGCCACGAAAAGACATGAAGATGCCAAGGCATTGAAAAAAGGCTTTTTGAAAAAGGACCGTATTCCTAGTGTTCCATGCCATGAAAAGGCATGAGGGTGCCTAATGAAGGCATGGTAAAAAGTTTTTTGAGAAGTACTATAGTCCTAGAGTGTTATGCCATGAGAAGGCACAAAAGTCCTAGAGTGTTATGTCATGAGAAGGCATGAGGAAGCCATGAGAAGGCATTAAAAAAAGAGGGGCGAAAAATGCTTTTTAAAAAAAAAATTAAAAGGAAAACTAATCATTGCAATACATTAAGAACGTACGGAAAATTCTACTCCAAAAAGCATGTTGCATGAATTTTGTCAGAAGCAAAAGATTGAATAATCAATTTACAAAATATCAAAGAATGACTCAATCATGGTCCTATTTTTGTCTGTGCGATTGAAGTCGTAGGAAGAGAATTTACAAGATTCCCTATGGATAGGAGAAAAAAAACCCAACAAAGTGCAATTTATTTTGCCATATCGCAATTGGCGAAAAACAAAGAAATTATTGAAATTGACAATGATGACGAAGAGAACATGAAGATTACAAGTGAAAAAAAATTTATTAAATCAAGAAACAAATTAAAATTCCTGAAGCCCTAGTGTCTTCACTAAATAATGAAAATGAAGAACTTCATAATATCATTGAAAATATTTTATAGGAAATTTAACCAAAAAAACAGAATTTTGCATCAAGGGGGAATTTTGAAATGTAATGCAAAATTGTAGGAATTGGAGGGGTCCGTGTTCTTTCTCCCTCTAAGAGGTTGTAGGTAGTTATGGGTTATGGATTTGTGGTGGGAGTTATCTTGTAGTCGTAGTTATCTTCTACTCTCTCTCTAAGTGGGTAGTTATCAAAATTGGAAGTTATGTGTTGCAACAGCGGTTACTCAAAATGGGGTCACTTACGAAATTTGTGGGTAGTTTTTAAAACTGTTGTAAAGGCCTTTGAAAAGACACAATTTATTGGAATGAGTTATACCCCTTTTGAGTTTGAAGTTCTCTCTAAGCTTTTGCTTATTCAAAACTTTGTTAGAGAAAGAGTGTTGCTACAGAAAATGCACTTGAGGTAATTTAGGAGGGCTGCTATGACCTGTGGGCTATAGCATCCTCAATCTAATATTTGCCTCTCTAAACCGATTATGTTTGTTAACAATTCTTCTTGAGGTTTATTAAGTTGATCGCATTTTTATAATGCAGCATTTACAGTGTAGAGCTTCTGAAAATTCCAACAATGGTATCCTGTTGGAATTTACAATTCCTTTTTACTCTTATTTACAGCTCTTTTCTTTTTTATCTTTTTTCTTTATCCGTTTCCTTCCAAAAAGAATTTTTATGCCTTCTCTTCGGTATTATGATATTAAAGGCGTTCTTAAAAAGAAGGAGATTCAAAAAATTGGGGGAAACCAAAATGGGAGAGTTCTTAATGTGTTTTGCAAAAGTTTTTAAAAATGAGAATTAAAAAAATAAAAAAGTTATGAAAGGGAGACATGAGTAGTCAGCATGGGAAATCCATGCTTAGTGTAGGCATAGGTAAAATATTTTTTGAAAAAGAAAAAAGTTCATAGTCCTAGTATGCCATGCCACGAAAATGCATGAAGATGCCAAGTAAAGGCATAGAAAAATGCTTTTCTGAAAATGGAGTGTAGTCCTAGTGTTCCATGCCCTGAAAAGGTATGAGGGAGCCTAATGAAGGGTTATAAAAAAAAAAATTTGAAAAGTATCGTAGTCCGATAGTGTTATGCCATGAGGCATAAAAGTCCTAGAGTGTTATCCCATAAGAAGGCATGAGGATACCATGAGTAGACATAAAAAATTGGGGGGAGAAAAAAGTTTTTAAAAAAAAGTTTAAAAGGACAACTAATTGTTTCAATTTTTTGTAGAAAAGACATTAAGAAAATACAGCAAATTCTACTCCAAAACGCACACAGCATGAATTTCGTAGAAAGCAAAAGATTGAAAAACCAATTTACAAAATTATCAAAGCAGGACCCGATCATAATCCTATTTTTGTGTGTGAGAATGAAGTCGAAGGAAGAGAATTTTCAGGATTCCTTATGGATACAAGAAAAGAAGCCCAACAGAGTGCAACTTATTTTTCCTTATCGCAATTGGCGAAAAAGGAAAAAATTATTGAAATTGAAGATGATGAAGAAGAG